CACGAAGTCAAGGGTCCGAGGATCAAGAAGCAAGGAGTCATGAAGTCAAGGGTCCGAGGATCAAGAAGCAAGGAGTCACGAAGTCAAGGGTCCGAGGATCAAGAAGCAAGGAGTCACGAAGTCAAGGGTCCGAGGATCAAGAAGCAAGGAGTCAAGAAGTCAAGGGTCCGAGGATCAAGAAGCAAGGAGTCACGAAGTCAAGGGTCTGAGGATCAAGAAGCAAGGAGTCACGAAGTCAAGGGTCCGAGGATCAAGAAGCAAGGAGTCATGAAGTCAAGGGTCCGAGGATCAAGAAGCAAGGAGTCACGAAGTCAAGGGTCCGAGGATCAAGAAGCAAGGAGTCACGAAGTCAAGGGTCCGAGGATCAAGAAGCAAGGAGTCAAGGAGCCAAACACAGCAAGGCAGGGAACGTGTTGCTGTGGCAAAGAGCCAAAGGGAAATGCTGACCTTATATCCCTTCCCAGCTCTTGCCAGCAGGTGCTGTGAGTTACCAAGCAGCCTCACCTCTGCAGCCACGCCTTGCCTCTCCAGAACAAACTTAGGAAAGCCCCAGTCTTGCAAAGTCCTATTGGTCACAGGGCCTGGCTCCTGCACGCACACCTGACACAGAGGTTGGATGGCCATCTGTCATGGATGCTTTAGTTTAGATTTTGCAAGGGACTAGGTGACCCATATTGGTCCCTTCCAACGCTATGAATCTATGGAAACAGAGCTCTTCAGAACTCTCCTGGGAACCTTCTGGGCAGTCTCAGGTAGACTATAAGGTCCATCAAGCACTGGAAGGGAATGACTGGTGTGAAGGTACGAAGTTTTCATAGATGCACCATCAAGAATGCAAATCACTCAGCTGCCTCTTAATTGTGTTAATTGATGATTTCCTTCTATCGGTCCACTATACAAAGTGTTCTCTCATACTGTATTATGGTGTGGTTTGCTGGTTTCACAGCCATGGACAGAAAGTCCCTACAGAGGGTGGTGAAGACAGCACACGATATCATGGGCTGTCCCCTCAGTCCTTATCGCAGGAGACCGTTGCCTCAGAAGAGCGAGGAACATTCTCAGGGATGACTCACACCCTGGCCAGCACCTTTCTAATCTCCTGCCCTTGGGCAGGAGATATAGAAGCATGACAAGCCACACCAACAGGTTAAAGAACAGTTTCTACCTGTGGGCCATGAGGCTGCTGAATGGAGGCAGCAACATTGCAGCTGACGTTTGGGGTTGGTGGTCATACAACAGCACACAGAGTGTAACAAGGACTGAGAGATTGTGGGGGGGCTCATTTAATCTCACTGTAAACAGGTGGAACAGTGACAATAAAGTATTTCTATATTAAGGTACAGAAGAGCAACACACACACACACCCCATTCCCTCTCCCCATAAGTGATTTTTTTGGGGAATGCAAAATGCAAAATGCAACACAGCAGATGACCCTACCTTCCCCTAAACAGCGGTTCTCAACCTGTGGGTCCCCAGATGTTGTTGGACTACAACTCCCATCATCCCTGAGCTCTGGCCTTGATAGCTAGGGGTGATGGGAGTTTTAGTTCAACAACATCTGGGGCAACCTCTGCAGCAAATGAGATTCCACCACCTCCTGAAGCGTTCTGGTCCCCTGTTCCGCTTGGGGTTTGTCCTGAAATCTGCTGCCCTGCCCTTGATTCCGCTCACACATTCTAGCCCTGCCCCTCCTTCGCTGTGAACAGCCCTTCAGCTATTTGAAGACCATGATCAAGACTCTTCCGAATCTCCTCTTCTCCAGGTCAACTCTTCCCGCATAGGAATTAGTTTCCCGTGCCCTCCCTCATCCCAGTTGCTCTCTTCTGGGCATGCTCTGGGCATCCACTGACTATATGGCGAAAGGTTGAATTTTAATAGGCAAGTTAAGTAGGACTTGGGGAATGTTAGAATTTTCTAAAGGTTAGATGGTTCTTTCCGTATTGGTTTTCAATTAGAGGTTTTAGTGTAGCATTTAACTTTACATCCTAAGTTTTCTTTTTCTTTTTTAGTTGTATCTCTCCCGTAAGCTTTTTCAGTTAGATTGGCCTTGACATTTAAATACATCGCAAATCCCATTTTTCTTTCTGCATGTTCCTTCCCAAGTGGCTCACCAACACACGTGATCAGTCACATGATCAACTCTTGGTAGCTCAGCTGAGCGTGAGATAAGAAAGGCATAAATCCAGGGGGGACAAACAAACAAACAAACCTGCAATGAATCCAAAACCAGGCACAATTCAACTTATCTATAAGGGAATATTTGCACTATATGGAGAGACCTCTTCTTCATAATGGTGACTGCTGCTGCTCAGGCTGTGCAGAAAAAGCATTTTGGTTCCAGAAATTCATTCTGATTGTGCAGATAAAATATGACTGCTAGAATTCTACAGGAGGTGGAATTAGTGTGTGAAAACAGTCCAGATCTAAGGATCCCCAGGCATGTGTTAGAATTCCTGGTCTATGATTGCAGTCATGGGATTGTTGTCTATCACATGATGGTGTATGTTTTGACTCCACAGCATGGGAAGTGACGGAGACAGGATGTTTGTGTTACTGTGTTCCTTGAAGTGGGACTATTGTCCTTTGTTTTTTCTCTTTGCTGTCTGATGCTAGAGAGAGAGGGAGCCATGTTGCAGTGCTCCGTGTGTGTTGATATGTAAATAAAGTAGATTAGCCAAAATGCTGAGTTGCTGATGTCCGTTACGCAACTGCGCAAACTCTGTGGATCCCTAAGTGTGCCGGTGTCTGTTGGCATCAGTCGCTGTGATGTTCAGGCAGAAGAAAGCTTTTGAAGCTCCTGAATGAAAGACCAGGAGGGATAGAACATGCCATTCGGGCATGTGTCTCTGCCAAGGTCCTACTTGAGTGTAGGCTGAACTCCTGACAGTATGCACCTCCAGATCGTGGAGACATCAGGTGCCATCCTGTCTCCCAGGCATCTTCACTTGGTCAGAAGTGGCTGCCTAATTTCAGACAACATTCCAGAGCCTTTGTTCACCTCTGGTAATGCTGTTAGAACATGTGAGAATGTTCTATGTAGGAATGTAGGAAATGATATATTGAATAATTATTACCCTTCCTTCACTCGTGCTAGTGAGTGATGTAGCAGAGCAAATCTTAATATAGCTAGAAGCGAGTCTGCAGATTCATTTCAATCTCTTAGTTAAGACTATTTCCTGGTGCCCCCTTTTATCCCTCCTAAAGGAATAAAGATACAAGAGTCTTTCTGAATAAAATAACAAAAGTTTACTTACATTTCAGTTCACGATATGATGCCTGAAAGTCAGGCTTTCCTTAGTAGAAGAAGAAGAGAAGAAGAGTTTGGATTTGATATCCCGCCTTTCACTCCCCTTCAGGAGTCTCAAAGCGGCTCACATTCTCCTTTCCCTTCCTCCCCCACAACAAACACTCTGTGAGATGAGTGGGGCTGAGAGACTTCAGAGAAGTGTGACTGGCCCAAGGTCACCCAGCAGCTGCATGTGGAGGAGCGGAGACGCGAATCCGGTTCCCCATATTATGAGACTACCGTTCAGCGGCATAGCGTGGGTTGTCAGCACCCGGGGCAAGGCAAGTAATTTGCGCCCCCTAACCCAGGGCAAGGCAAGTAATTTGCGCCCCCTAACCCGGAGCAAGGCAAGTAATTTGCGCCCCCTAACCCCTAACCTGCCGCCGCTGCCAGCTTCTTCTTGCTGCTGCCTGAGCTGGTCTGGTGTGGTTCTCTCCCGCGCTCAGCGCTGCGCTGGGCGGCCGCTGCACTGTCCCTCCCCCCAGATAGTCCCTCGCTCTCTCTCCACACCGCACGCCTGGCACCCACCCCCCTCCACAGTGGGCGGCGACCCAGCGGCTCGGATCGGATTCGCACAGCCAGCACTGCAGTGAGAGAGAGTGAGTGAGCCAGGTAGGGGCAGAGAGCTGCGAGTGCGAGTGCCCCCCCCAGATGTTGCGCCCGGTGCGGCCGGCCCCCCCTGCACCCCCCATGCTACGCCACTGCTACCGTTCTTAACCACTACACCATGCTGGCTCCCAATTGTGTAGTTACACAATCAAGTGTGAGTTCATCCTATAGGAAGACTGAACTCATGTGCTGCTGGCCGAGAGCCAGCAGGCAGCAAAAAATACATTAAGACAACAAAATGGCTGTAGGAGAGCAGCATGGCAACAAAATATAGAACAGGACAACAGAAAGACAAAAGAGACTAAAACTAGAGACTGATAAAATGGCTGTGTGACTCGGCCCTTTTATGGAGTCAGCCAGAGCCACAACCTGTCAGGATTTATAATCTCCCTCTCACCCCAAGAGATGGCAGGCTGGTGGTTTTATGGTTTTTTTCAGATTTATTGGTATTTACACAGTAGCTCAGTCCGAGAACATAGCTCAATCGTCACTCGATGATCCAGTTGAGTCCACTGGAAGGCGGGCTCTTCTCCAACAGGAAACATGCCATCAGCTCCTCCCCTTCTTGTGAGCTTGACGCCAAGCCTGAATTCTGCCCAATCTCTGAGAGCGAGGGGATTCTGGAACAGACTGCCCAGCTTGTCCCTCCTCCCCTGATAGCGTGTCTGAAAGTTGTGGCTGCTCTGTCTCATGTCTCCCTGGGAATTTACGACCTGCATTCCAGGGAAGGAGGGGCTCGCTTCACCCTCTGCCTGTGAAGAAAGCAAGCCCCCGTCTCTGTCTGCCTCCCTTCCGCCTCCCAACCCTCTGATTCCTCGCTTTCACTCTGGGAAGGAAGACTCCTGACACACCCATCTCCCAGGTCACATGCAGGGGGAAGTCGCTCCAAACCAGTGGAACAGGAAGTTACACTGACTGGATGTCCCCCTGCCTGTGCCCACTCTAGGGAAATAAGGAATGTGGCATTTGACTGCACCAATGGATTACATCCCGCAAAACACACACAGAGAGATGGAGCAGAATGTATCATGATGTCATAGTCGTTTGGTTATCATTCTTTAGAATCCTCTAGAACGTCATGGAAGTGAGAATGGGAAGGCTACCAAAGAGAGAAAGCAGAGCTGCAGAACATCCAGAAGCTTCGGCTTTCCTGGAAAGGCCATGATTCCAACTGGCTCTCAGCTGAGAGGAGAAGTGAGACGATGAAAACCTGAAACCATCTAGGCCATGTCACAGCCTGTAAAGAAGATTTAGCCTCAAGGAGAAGAGCAAGGAGACCTCCTTGAAGCGAGTGGGGAAGGTAGATCTCAGGTAGCTTTCAAGTTGTCCTCTTGTCCGAGTCATCAGAGAAAGGCAGAAGGAGGGGGATCAGCATTTGGTTCCAGGCAGCTAGCAGACAATGAACATCTGCTGCAGCTGCTCTGAAGGCTGAAGGCTGCTTAGTTGGGTACAGATGGAAGGAAGAATGGATGGACCTGAGCGTACACCAGATCTGGTCATCCTGGGGAGTTGGAAAACCATTTATATGGACACGAAAGAAGAAAAGCACTGCCCTGAAATCAAGGTGGAGAGAAACAGCGAGATGAACTGTCACCAGGAAAGTGGGGATACTGGTCCGACACTGGAACAAGGGGCAGAGTCAAAGAGAAGAATCCTGGGTAAGGACATGCCAGATCAATCCATTCCCACCGATCAGGGAGTGGGCTGTTCTGGGCAAGCAGGAGTGATGGACCCAAGTCAGCAGGCAGCTGTGGCAGGGAGTGTCCGAAACAGCACGTCCCTCCGCAAAGCATCTCACCGGAGCATCCAGCGAGGCCTCGCCGGGCAGGAACCACACCGGGCCAACCAGCCATTTATCAGCCTGCAGCCCCCAATGGCTTCCCGCGTGGAGCATGCAAGCGAGGCAGATGCCCTCGAAGACGGCGTGAGCTGGATCAACCCAAGAACAGGCAAAACGATGAAATGCAAAAGCCAACAGACAAGTAGGATTTGGCAGCTGAAGCCCCTCTGTGCAATTCTACACCCTTCAACAGAAGAACCCCAGGTAAGCCAAGACTCAAAGGAAAGTGAAGAGGGCAGGTCAGGAGAAAGCACCTTTTCTTCAGGTAAGACAAAGAGAGAGGGACGTACGGGGCAGGAATCGCACAGCAGCAACCAGGAGCAAGATTTACATAGTGGCGTGGGCCCATCCCAGCTTCAGAGCCAACATCTAGGGAAAGCCCAAGAGATTAGTCAAGAGCCAGAAAATCAGAAACCTCAAAATCGCAGTGAAGATGGCCCAGCATCTCAGGAGACACCACAGCCTTCTCAGGTGAGGCCCACAGATGGAGCTGGTACAAATAGGGCCACCACTTGGATCAGCAAGAAAACTGGCTCAGAAATGGTCAGCAGAAATCAACAGACAAGCTTGGTTTGGGAGAGGAAGCCCCTTTCAGAAATTCTTCACCCGGCAATTCAGCAACCCCAGGAAAGCCGAGAATCAAAAAAAGGAGGGTCAATGGGGAAGGTGGTTTTTTCAGAAGAGAGCAGGTCAGGGAAGATCACGGTGCTTTACAGTGATCTGCAGCCAGAAGCATCGCCATCCCAACTTGGGGGTCGAGAGCAATGGAGGTGTCAAGCGCCAGAGGAACAGAAGGTATGGGATTCCACTAAGCAACGCAATGGCCAAGGCTCACCAGATGTCCCCAAACATTCCCGGTCATCACAGACAGACGTAGCTGGTGTCAAGAGGGACCACACTTGGGTCAGCCAAAGAACTGGAGCTGAAATGAAATGCAAAGGTCAGCAGACAAGCAGTACATGGGAAATGAAACCTCTTTCGGAAATTCTACAGTCCGCAGGTCAAGAATCTCAGCAAAAGAGAGGCAAGGTCAATGGAAGAGCAAGAATGTTTGACAGGGCTCGATCTGACGTTGGAAGTAAAGTGAACAGGGAGATGACGCTGTCGTATACGGAAGGAGAGGAAATTGAACAAACATACAGCATAATTTCCCTGGAAAGGGGAATCCTGTTAAACAGGAAAACCCGCAAAATCCTCGTAAACCGTGGTCAACAGACAGTGGAGGCCCTCCCTTCCACCACTGTTCAAATAACACTGGATAACTACAGAAGAAAAGGGTATCAAACTCTGGTAGTAAATGAACCAGAGACCACAGTGGAAGAAAGCGAAGGGGGAGGAAGTGCTTCTAGGGGGCAGCAAACCATCAGTCAATGGGTCCACAGTGACATGCATAATCGAAGGGCGTATCAAGACTCCATGGAGTCATATGAGACATTTGTAACTAACAAGCATCCTAGTGACGAGATCCTGTTCAAAATAGAGTCATCGTTGGTATTTGTGCCCGTAGATGAGGAGGACCTCCTGTTGATCTATGGCCAAGAGGATTCTGAGAAGGAAGGAAGCTTCATCAACAACCAAACGGGCAAAGAGTTGGAATCGCGGTGCCTGCAGACAGAGGAGCTTTTCTTCCACAAGCCTGACCTGGAGGCAAAAGCGTTGGAAAGCTAAGTCAAACCCCACCACCCCCATCCCCATCAGAAGGAGTACACTGGAAAGGAATTCCTTAACTGAATGGATTATCTGTCTGGTGGGTGAAGCCTGAGTACCAGCAAGACCCAAAAATGGGAGTCCACTCGAGGGATTGTAGACACACGAAATGGAATAATGTGCCCTGACAGGTGTTGGTTAGGCAGATAAAAGAAGCACATCGTGAATGGGGTTAGGAAAGGCAGAAGAAAAGAAAATAAACATAACCCAGGGAGGATCAGCAGTTTGCGTTTCATTTGGCTCATATCTCAGTGCATGATTTTGGTTGCCCTTCTTGAGGTTGTCTTTGCAGAAAGAGGAATCTGACGTCAGCATGCCCCGTGGCCTGTGAGCATGGCGTGCTCACATTGCGCTGCCCTGGCCCCCTCAATCGCAGGGCAAGCTGGGTTGCTTGGTCAGACTTCATTCAGTAATGCCTTCCTAGACAGTGTCCAAAAGAATCTGTTAGAGAGAGAGAGAGAGAGCGCGCACACACACACACACTATATATAATATATATATATATGCTGTCCATCCACTAGCAACCAACATCTACCACCACAGTGCCCTGCATTAATAATGATAATAATAATAATAATAATAATAATAATAATAATAATAATAATTTATACCCCACCCATCTGGCTGGGTTTCCCCAGCCACTCTGGGCAGCTCCCAATGAAATATTAAAAACACAATACAGCATTATACATTAAAAACTTCCCTAAACAGGGCTGCCTTCATATGGCTTTTAAAAGTAGGATAGTTGCTTATTTCCTTGACATCTGCTGGGAGGGCGTTCCACAGGGCAGTCGCTACTACCAAGAAGGCCCTCTGCCTGGTTCCCTGTAACCTTACTTCTCGCAATGAGGGAACTGCCAGAAGGCCCTCGGAGCTGGACCTCAGTGTCCGGGCTGAACGATGAGGGTGGAGACGCTCCTTCAGGTATACAGTGGTACCTCAGGTTACATACGCTTCAGGTTACATACGCTTCAGGTTACAAACTCTGCTAACCCAGAAATAGTACCTCTGGTTAAGAACTTTGCTTCAGAATGAGAACAGAAATCGTTCTCCGGCGGCGCGGCAGCCGCAGGAGGCCCCATTAGCTAAAGTGGTGCTTCAGGTTAAGAACAGACCTCCAGAACGAATTAAGTACTTAACCCGAGGTACCACTGTACTGGGCCAAGGCCGTTTAGGGCTTTAAAGGTTAGCACCAACACTTTGAATTGTGCTTGGAAACGTACTGGGAAATGTACCATCTAGAGGCATCATCAGAGTTCAAGGATACATCCCAGCGAGACATAAACACTCCAGGATGGTGCAAAGGTGAGGGGGGAGGCCTGGGGAGAATTTCAGGAGCCACACAAAGAGACCTGGAGGGGCACATTTATCCACCAGTGGGGTCCTGAGAGGCGCCACTCCTTAAGTCCTCTGTGGACTCAGGAGAGGGTTCCAAATTGGACTCAGCTGCAGTCCACAACGGCCTGAACGGAAACTCAAATCTTCACCTCCAAACAGCCACTGGCGGAGAACCAGGAGTGTGGAGGGCACAGACCACCCCCAGAACCACTATTCCGGTAGGGTGCCATCGCGGTGCCCCCCCGGGACACGTGCCGTGCACGCACACACACACCTGCGCACCAGGCATCACACCCCCACAGACGGCGCATCACACCCCCAGAACACATGCCACTCCCTCACAGGTGGCGTACCACGCCCCCAGGATGCACGTCACGCCCCCAGGATGCGCGTCACGCCCCAGGGGTGCCAACCACACCCCCACCTGCTCTCCGCCCTTGGTGGCGGAGCATGCAGTTTTGCCACTGCAATCAGCACCCAGACAGATGCTGCTGCAGTTGAAATAGAAACCTCAACTTAACCGGGTGCCCCCCCTCCCTTAATAATTCCATCAGGACTATTGATCAAATGGATATAAAAAGGGATCCTTTCTCTGGTGCAAGAGATTGCTGAGTGTTGACCCCACCTCCCCATCCCATTCAGAAGTCATTATTAAACCTGATAGATTTTAGGGGCCTTGGATTTTCTTCTGGTTGAGGGCTTAAAATAATTTAGTCAATTGCGGGGTAGGGGGTGGGGTGGTCTGGCATGAAGATCCAGCAGGGTTGTGCTTGTTAAAAACAATACTTAAAATACCGTACCTTAAAACACATATAGAACTAGCAACTAAAACATTATTGTTGTTATTATTAAGTTTGTTAGTTGCTTTGTCTTGCCCAGGAAAACAATGTCTGCTCCTTAGTTTCCAGTGGGCTGTCTGAACTCTTCCCCTAGCATAGAAAAAAGCCCACACATTAGGTAAGTTAAAAATGGTTTACTTACAAACTCTCCAAAGGTTAGATTCATGTGCTTTTTCATACAGCATTCAGAAAAAGTTTCCCAGGCAGTGAAACTTGGGTTAGTTACAAAGTGGTGAAAGTTCCTAAGTTATTGCTTTAAGAACTCAAGAGTGGTTTGTGAGAGCCATGTGGTCTGAGTTAGAGCAACCAGCTCAAACTCCTTTGCCCAATGAACTTCTTAGGTAGGCTGGAGGCTTGATTGCCTATTCCCTCTCAGTGTAAGGGCAAGTTGCCTTGCTAAGCCTGGCAGGACAGCTTACTCTGTGGTATTAACCCCTTCATGCATAGACGGAAGCATGTTGGTGATATGAGGCTGGTTATCCCACACACTGAATGTCCAAGAGTTCTAGAGGGTAAAGGGACCCCTGACCATTAGGTCCAGTCATGACCGACTCTGGGGTTGGGGCGCTCATCTCGCTTTATTGGCCGAGGGAGCTGGCGTACAGCTTTCGGGTCATGTGGCCTGCATGACTAAGCCGCTTCTGGCTTAAGTTTACCTTCCCACTGGAGCGGTACCTATTTATCTACTTGCACTTTGATGTGCTTTCGAACTGCTAGGTTGGCAGGAGCAGGGACTGAGGAACAGGAGCTCACCGCGTCGTGGGGATTCGAACAGCCGACCTTCTGATCAGCAAGTCTTAGGCTCTGTGGTTTAACCCACAGCGCCACCTGTGTCCATAAAAACTTTTCTCTATCCACTTTCTCTATGCCAGGCATCATTTATAAACTTCTTTCACATTGCTCGCCTTTTCTCTAAATGAAAAGGTCCCAAACAGTGTGGATGCTCTGCCACTTACCTGTGGGACAGCAAAGGGAGAAAACAACAATTTGGGAGCCTTCATTGAAGGGGGGGAGAATCAAAACTAAAATATTATGTAAATCCATGGAAGGAAAGGAGATGGGGGGGAGCAGGGGGGGACCCTGACATCTGGAGATTTCTTTCATTACAACGAAGCAATCTGCGCAAGGCCAAATCCTTCAACTTGCTTCCAAAACCCGGCTTAGCTTTCCATTCTCATAAAACTGGAGATGGGCCATTTGCTTGATGGGTAATTCAGCGAGTAGCAGAACAAAGCTCCCTTTGCCAACCCACAAAAATTCCAAACATGTTTGGATTTCTCTCCCCTCCCCTCCCACCCTTTTTTCTGAGGGGAGGTTCGAAATGAAATTTCCCCTCTTCTTTTTCAATCAAGAAAGACAAAAGCCTTTGCTGAATGTAGCAAACCTGTTTCCTCGCGCCATGAAACGCTGGATTTCCCCCTCCGATCATCATATGCCAGCCAATGCCACGCTTTCCGCAGTCTACTCCATCCTCCAGACAGCAGATGTTTTGCCACACAAGCTGACCCCGGCATGGATGATCAGGCTCTGTAATAAAGATGCACCGTGCAGTCAGGAGGACGTCACAGCTATGGAGAAAATGTACTCAGGCGCAGCCTGGACAAGCCACAGAGATAAATGTATTATTAAAGGAAAAGCCATCTCTGCCTCTTACAAGATGAACACATTTCTTTTCTTGTTTCCTTTCTATAATGGTATGGGGTTGCTCGTGCGTAAGTTGCCGCCTCTCCTGGCTATGTTGCCTTGTTAAACCTTTCTGTCTGGACAGCCCTTCAATTCGTGGCTGCCTCAGTCGCTAGCAGAATCCATCAGTGGGCGTTTCTTAAACCTTTTCCAACATAAAAGTTGTTTGACACCCAGTCTCCTCCTACTTTCTCTGCGCGGAAGTCTTCTGCGCAGGGAGGGTGTGGGTAGTGGAGGACCAGTGCTCTCCCCGCTGGTGTCCGGTGAAGAGTCTGGGAGCCCTCTGCCGATTCCCCATCTGCCCCTCCTTATTCCTGGTGTTGCACTGAATTGCTTCCCCATCTGCTGAGCTGCCTCTCTCCCTGCTGGGCCCTTCTCCAGCATCATTAGAGAGCCTTCCCTCCACCTCTAGCTCCGATGTCAGTTCCCTGACACTTTCTTTTTAAGTTTTTTTCCTTTTCTATCTTCTTCTTTGGCGATCCCTTGAGTAAGATTGTTATCCCAGCTATCCCAGCCTGGTTAACCCCCTAAAAACTGTGATACCCCATTTTTAAATACAATATACTCCCATAGAGACTAATCCATTCCAGTCTCTCATCTGCAGTTTTAAAACCATAAAACGCACTTTGGATAGAAACTGTTTCTCAGAGTGGCTAGTCGCTTAGTCTTGTATAACCCTGGACCTTCTTCCAGAAGGCAGAAGCTGAAAGAGATCATTTCTGGGGTGCGCACTGTCCTGCGCTATCTCTGCAGCTTTCTTATGGCACCTGGAAGCATAGATTTGATCAGAGGTGGGAAGAGTGCACCCAATTATTCTCTCCGCAGTCTTTACAACCCTGGACAGCATTGTTTTTCCCCTGACCGTGCAGAGAATTATAGTTATAGTTATAGTTATAGTTATAGTTATAGTTATAGTTATAGTTAGTTATAGTTATAGTTATAGTTAGTTATAGTTATAGTTAGTTAAAGTTATAGTTATAGTTATAGTTATAGTTATAGTTATAGTTATAGTTATAGTTATAGTTATAGTTATAGTTAGTTATAGTTAGTTATAGTTATAGTTATAGTTATAGTTATAGTTATAGTTAGTTATAGTTAGTTATAGTTATAGTTATAGTTATAGTTATAGTTATAGTTAGTTATAGTTAGTTATAGTTAGTTATAGTTATAGTTATAGTTATAATAATAATAATAACCATGATTTCTATGCTCTGCCTCCACAGGATTCAGTTGCTGGAAACTACAGGAGGGCAGATTGATGCTCTTGTGCTTGAATCCTGCCTGTGGGTTTCCAATAATGGGCCCCTGGTTGGCCACTGTGAGAACAGGATGCTGGACTTGATGGGCCATTGACCTGAT